CCAGAATTTCTGATAACCAGTGTCCATGACTTTACTCATTCACACTATGTCTGAATGACAGTTCCTTTCATCTATAGAGATGAATACAATCTGTCATTTGTGTAGGTCCTCCCAGCTGTTCAGGAAGAGAGAGCAGTGATTGTCAAGATACTGTTCAATGCTTTTCTGATAGAGGTCTTACATTACAGGTGGTCCTATCAACACGTTTACAGGCTAAAATTATACGGCATGGCTGATCTTATCCAAGAATGGTGAGCCAGGGTTATCTGGCATGCTCTCTCCTTGCCCATAGATATGGGGATCCTTACCAGTCCAGCATTACTTAAGTGGATTAAGTGATGAGCACCTCATTTAAATAGTCACCTTGACAGCTGATGCATATTCCTATTTTCTCTCAACACACATGAAGGTCATAATGACAAAAATATGAAATTCCCTGCCAAGAACAACTTTAATATACATGTTTATATGTACAGTCAGCGGAACTCCAAGAAAAAAACATACTTTTTTCATTGCGATTGGTCCATAGAGGTTATGTGTAATGCTTTGCCTACTATGTTGGGAGGGTGGCTGGGGGTGTTAAAAAATGTTTGTGCTATTGCTGCTTGTGTTATTACTACTATCAGCTGTGAGTTTCCACCGCTCGGACTCACAGTTCTGGCTACTGTACAGTGAAGAGGAGAGTCACTCGCTCTCTTATTTCCTCTCTCCTCATCCATTCACAAAAAGCTTTGTTATTCTTTTCACTGAATACAAACCATTCGTGAATGGAAGAGAGGACTTACCATTCTCTTTTCTGCCCTCATCCACTGGCAAAGCAATACACATAATTGCTCTGGAGCAATCACAGTTTGAAAAATACTTTTTTCTGGAGTTCCACAAGTTTCTAAACACATATGGGTCTAGAGGTGGATAAGTTTGAGTATAGGAGTCAAACTAGACATCAACAGATTTAAGAAAGCATGTGGCTCAATGAGCAAATGAACAGTAAAAGAAGATATACAAAAGTTAGGTAACAACTGCAATTTCTAAGCACATTACCTAAATGACTCCTGGGATTAGTCTTGTTATGTATAGACATGTTCAGTAAACCAGTGCAAGGTGAAGTGATGGTACAAAAAGTGCAGTTATCCATAGTGAAAAAAAAGCTTATTGAAGCACATGAAACATAATTTCTGGTGGATCCAATGGGTTACTGGATTTTGCCTTTTGTCTTATTGAATAGGCTTGATACATGTTGCCATGTAAAAAATAGTAACATATATTAGCTGTTAAGAGGGGTAATTGGAAGCCTATGCATGCATATACTGTATACAACCATAGTACAAATATGCAGGGAAACCCAATTCACTATTATGGACTCATGTGTTGTAACAGGCTAGGCTCCATTCTGTCTTGCAAACCTAAAGTATATAGGCACAAAAAAATGTATGGTCCAGTTTGTCATTACCTGGAGTTAAGTTTTAATGTACTATTCACTTATATCAAGTCTAGCTAACACTACCCTCTCTCCAGGTTGACAGTGCTGTTGGCTAAGGGTGGCTATGTTGTTCCTCCTTAGATAGTAGGGGAGTGATCGAGGCCACCCTAAGACAGCAAATGTGTTAATGGCTGAATCATCAGGTGAAAATAAAGGGGAAACAAAGAAAGAAGACTACTGCCGCCACCACATTTAAGAACCGGTAAGCTGCAATATATTACATTTTTGCTCTTGGGTTTAGATACACTTTAAGAGCAATTGTACCTTCAGTAGCAACATTAGTGACTGTAACAACATTACAATAAGTGGGCATCTATAACTATTTAAAAAGAAACTTCAGACAAAACACAGCATTGTGATATGCCATGTGAACTGCAAATTCAATTTGATATTGATTTTGGATGCCCTGGCACAGCCAAAAACCTGTTCAACACACAACAGTTTCTCAGACCAGGTTACCTATGTAGACTGTGGACAAAACCATCCAATTTAGAATAGAATTTCCATCCCATGTGTCTTCTTGCAGCTAAATAAAAAATCTCTTAAACTCACAGAAAGCTGTATTTTAAACTTTATATTGAGTTGTTGGAGCTTATATTAAAGATAGAAAATAAGTCCACAAAAGCTAATATTTTATACCTTTACTTTAGGTGCTGTCATGACTGGATTAATACTTCATATAATAATACAGGAATACATAATTAAAAATAAAACCCGAGTCTGGTATACAGCAGGCCTCAAAATCTCCACTCGCCCCCTCGCAATTGGCGAGTGAAAATTGCGGGGGGCGAGTGGAATGTCAGCGACACCGGCGAGACCAGGGATGGGGCACTACCGCCGCAGCGATCGCTCGCTCGCTTCCGTTCTCTCTTCTCTTTCTCGGCTGCTGCAGCTACAGAGCGGCCGAGAATGAGAAGAGAGAACAGAAGCGAACGCTTGCCGCGGCGGTAGTGTTCCATCCAGAGCTGTATCTAGCTCTCTGCGCTCCCTCTCTCTTCTCCTGGCCGCTGCAGCTTCAGCTCCACTCAGAGAGGCGGCTCTGATCACACCCATTATCGCACCCTCTTCTCTCCTCCCGGGCCGCTCTGAAGCTGCTGCGGCCAGGAGAGAGAGGGAACCCTGACAGGTGTGATCGCCGCCGCCTCTCTGAGTGCCCGCTTTGTGGAGCTGAAGCGGTCGGGAGGAGAGAGAGGGATCGCTCAGCGGTGTGATCAGAGCAGTCTTAAAGAGGCCCCCCTCCTAGTCCACATCTTTTGGACGTTAGTAATCTGAGTTGCCCCACTCAGTATGCCCCTCGCTTGCACTACAATTAATAACTTGCTGGATTAGTCTGACCCAGGGGTGGACTAGGCCCGGGGGCAGGGTGGCAATTGCCCCCCGGGCCTCTCTGATGTCTTTGCAAATGCCCCCCGCCGAGCACTGACCTCTGTACTGTGCATCACACCCTGATCTCTGTAGTGTGCGTCACACCCTGACCTCTGCACTGCGCGTCACATTGCTGACCTCTGCACTGCGCGTCACATTGCTGAACTCTGCACTGCGCGTCACATTGCTGGCCTCTGCACTGCGCGTCACATTGCTGGCCTCTGCACTGCGCGTCACATTGCTGGCCTCTGCACTGCGCGTCACATTGCTGGCCTCTGCACTGCGCGTCACATTGCTGGCCTCTGCACTGCGCGTCACATTGCTGGCCTCTGCACTGCGCGTCACATTGCTGGCCTCTGCACTGCGCGTCACATTGCTGGCCTCTGCACTGCGCGTCACATGCACTGCGCGTCACATTGACGGCCTCTGCACTGCGCGTCACATTGACGGCCTCTGCACTGCGCGTCACATTGCCGGCCTCTGCACTGCGCGTCACATTGCCGGCCTCTGCACTGCGCGTCACACTGCTGGCCTCTGCACTGCGCGTCACAATGCTGGCCTCTGCATTGTAGAGTAGCCACCACTTCAAGCTCGCTCCCATGATGGACCACAATCTCAATACAAATTAGTAAACTAAATGTGAGATTGTAGTCCATCACGGGAGTGAGCTTGGAGTGGTGGATACTTTACAACACACACAGGGACCATGGGGAACAAAAGTAGCCACCCTCCAGAAGGAAAGACAGTGTCAGCACCATTTCAGAGATGATTTGAGGATCTACAGCCGAGTAATACACAAATAAAGTACAGTATTGTTAATAGTTAGTGCGTTAGTACTTGAATCCATTTTTAAGGTTTAACTCCTGAGTTTAGTGTCACTTTAAATGCATATAGAAATGGCATCTATATTTCAAAAATGCCAGATACATTGACATCTGTTAATTATAAGCTCTAGCTGAAATCTGAGAAATCAATGGAGTATAAATTCTTTAAATTATGAGAAATACAAAATGTTCTATCTCTTTATCTCTCATATCGTATCGTGGATATGCTGGGACTTTGATTTTGACACATGATAGTAAGTATTGTAGACAGTGTGCTTAACACATCACACACAAATCACCTTTCATAAATCCAGTTCCCAATCATATCTAAGACCCTGTGTACTCAGTATGGCTGCCACCTGAGAGAAAATTCTAGGGCTCTACTACCTACTAATTGTGTACTAACGTCCCCCTTAATCTCACACAGTCAGCTTCGCACAATATCCATTGACGCCTGTGCTTATATTTAATTAATATTATTTTTCACAGCACTATGTATAGTGGAGGAGAGCCAGTCATTTAAAAATCATATTAAAATATACACAAATACATCATATGCATTAACCCTACCCCCCCAAAAAAATCTATCTGTTAAATGGTAACAATACATTTCAGATTTAGTTACCCACGCAAGTTGTCATATCAAGATGCAGCCATCCCAGAGTAGTAACCATGAGCAAGGCTTTTAATATACTTCTTAAAAATGCAATGCACAAATAATTATTGGCATTAAAAGACTTAACCCCTAGAAACTATACATCAATCAAGTAAGCATTAGCAAGCACGTAATTTGCCACAGCTTTTGTGCACAACTTCTGATACAAATTACTCTCTAAATACATTACTGAATGTGCACAGTAAAACTTTATAAGAAATAATATAAAATGACAAACTTGTAGAGGAGTATGAAAGCGGCAGCAAGAATTTCTAGAGATGTATGGACAAGGAAGCCATGGGAGGTAGAGTAGAGGTTGTATATCTCCTGCAGAAATGTGCTGGACCCCTGCTGACCGACTCTGCTCAGCTGTGGCCCAGTATAGTCTTACAAAGGAAAATTGCACTTCATTTAAAAGAGGGTTTGACAGAGCAGGGATGGTTACAATACAGCAGCTGAGCATCTGTGTGGTAGGATCCATCCTGCAAAGGGAGGTATCAGGTTTCTGGTCCCACAACATCATTATTTGCCCTAGAGATCGGGAGAGACAGATGGACCATCACACATCCATCTGTCCTCTATAACATAGATATAAACTCCCCCACTCTCTTTACTACCTCTGTGCCCCCATTGTAAGGAATAAAACAAAGAGAAGACAGTGACAGCTGATACTCACGCTGCTGCAATAGCTTGGTTTCCATGTTGTGTCTCTAAGGATGCTAGGGAAAAGAAAGCACTGGAAATGCACCAGGAAATACAGATACACCAAGCTGGAAAATGGAATTGTAGGGGATGGGGAGATACCACCCACGCAATCCTGCAGCCCACTGCAAAGGGAGCCCAGGGCTCTTCTGACGTCACAGGAGATTCATGAATGGAGAGGGACGAGCTGTTTTAGGATTCAGCACGAAGCTTGCAGTGACGTCCACAATGAGCTGAGCTGTAAGGGGGAGCATAACGCAGCCAATAATCATCATTGCACATGCAGATAGCCCTCCCTAAGACAGTCAGCCAATAAGCCAAGCCCACCAATCACAGAATGTCATTAAATAGCTTGTAACGGATAAAAGGGCTGACAGCTGGGACATGACATGGCTAAATATGCTGCCTTATGTATTAATTACATTCCACTCTATAATATATATATA